GTTATGCTAGTTTCTCCTGTATTGTGTACTGTCTCACCCTTCACTGTTTAATTATATTTTGAAGTATGTGCCTCCAATGTTACATTTAATGAGTTCCTGGGTAGCACAAATCCTGGTGGCGCAGTGGTTAAGAGCTATGGCTGCTAACTAAAAGGTCGGCAGTTCGAATCCACCAGCCGCTCCTTGGAAACCCTGTAGGGCAGTTCTACTCTGTCCTGTTGGGTCACTATGAGTCAAAATCAACTCAACAGCAACGGGATTATTATTATTATTTTTTTGGGTAGCATGAATGGTTAAGCTCTAGATTTCTAGGGGAAAGGTTGGTGGTTCAAACCCACCCAGAAACTCCTCAGAAGATAGGCCTACCATCTGCTCCCAAAAGGTTACAGCCTTGAAAACCTTATGGAGCAGTTCTACTCTGTACACATGGTGTTGCCATGAGTCAGAATCGACTCGACAGCAACGAACAACAACAATGGTACATTTAACTCTTGGAGAACAAGAAATACGTCTCATTCCTTTTTCTGTTTCCAGGCAGATAGCAGGCCTTCCAGAAATGTCTGTTAGTTGAGTAAGTGAATAATGAAAGAATGAAACATCTTCCTACTTCCAGCCCTTATCCCTCTACCTTCCAGATATTTAGCTTGAGGGTTTTCTGCTCTAAGACTTACCCTACCAATGTATCATAGTACAACATACCACTGGGGAGAAAACTAAGTCCCTCATGGGTTTAGTTCTGGATGGATTTTCTTCCTATTACATTTCTACGTTAAATGTTGCAGTGTAAAATAAAGTGAACCAACTCAGTCCCCTATTTGTGTCCAATTCCATGCCCGGCGACTGTTGCTGTAGTAGGATGAGAGACTGCAAAACTGGAGGAAATCAGTGACCATTGTCCAGGAAAAATAGGAAATATTTTATTATCTTTTTTTATATTATTTTGAAATTTTTTCCCATACAAAATTGTATACATACATTGTTGCGTGACTCTAACTGCTCTCCCCATACTGTGACAGCACACTCCTCTTTTCCACCCCTGATTCCCCATGTCCATTCAACCAGCTCCTAACCTTCTCTGCCTTCCCATCTCACCTCCGGATAGAAGCTGCCTGTTGAGTCAGACTGAGATATTTTAAAGTAAAAGAAATGATGACAGGAGAAAAGAAGAAGAGACATTAAAATAAGAAGGAAATAAATCATCATTTATCTACATGCAGAAAGAGGGGATTTTTGTTTAACTTATGTATGTTTCATTTAAGACCCTCAATGAGATGGATTGACACAGTGGCTGCAACAGTGGGCTCAATTGTGAGGGTGACTATGAGTTGGAACCGATTGAACGACACCTAACAACAACAACAATGTATTTGTCTAAACCCAAACATATTAATATGAATTTTTATGGAAGCCGGTGGAAGGAATGATAGATAAACTCCAGTGAGTGTTCTGAGTTTAACACAAAGAGATAAGGGTTTAGAAAGAAGGGAAAACCAACATTGATTTTACCTTGGTGTGGATTTTGAAGGAAAATTTTGACTTATAAAAGGAAAAAAAAAGTGTGTTTAGATGATTCACTTAATACAATCATTTCTTGGTGAATAAATACTAGAGTTGAGGTGCAAAAAACTTTCAATTGGGTTTATCTCTGGATGGTGCTTGAAAAGTCAGATATACAACTTCCTTTCAATCTTTTAGTAAAGTGAGTAATAGTTTTTCTCCAACGGTACGCTAAATCAAGGTCATGTCTCATTGAATGAATGGAGATATTAAACCAGCCTACCTTCGGAAAATGTCCAATATCTTATTTTATCTTTGGCTCTTTCTAATTGTAGCATTTTTACTTTGAATTATTATGTTTTGAAATCCACATTACTTGTCTTTTCCTCCCCTCAACTGCAGCTCGAGTTAACCTTCAGCTACTTGGAGATTCATGGCGTCACCTGCAGCAAGCCAGCTCAGGTGAGTGTGAACAACAGAAACTTGTTTATGGCTATAAAGTTACAGTCTTTCTCGAGTTTCTGAAACAGTGAAAGGTCTTCTATTTTGGTTTCACTATTTAAAGCTTCACTGAGACAGTGTAGAAAAACACAATTAGGGAAAATCGAAGTTTCACAGAGTCAACAGTGGCTCTGTGGGTGAGGGTCAGGAATTTGTTTTGATAAGCAAAACTCATTCTCCATAACTCAGCTTCAAAAGAACTAATTAGCTCTTATGTTAGCTGGCAACATAAACTTCACAGTACTGTTTAGTACAACAGGTTTAACACTAAAATTTCACAGCTTATTATACAGTATTATATCGGGTCTTTCTGGGAATATACTGATGAATGAATTTTTTTGGTATTAGTAAAAAGATTTTTAAATACAGCTTTATTGTGATAGAAATGACATACAAAAAAAAAAAAAAAGGCCAAACCCATTGCCTTCGAGTCAATTCTGACTCATAGCGACCCTATAGGATGGAGTAGAACTGGTCCATAGGGTTTCCAAGGAGCTGCTGGTGGATTCGAACTGCAGACGTTTTGTTTAGCAGCCATAGCTCTTGACCACTGCACCAGCAGGGCTCCAAATGACATATAGTAAACTAAAATATATAATTTGATACGTTTTGACAGGTATACACACTAATTAAACCATTACCACAGTTAAGATACCGAATATATTTATCACCCCTGCGTTTCCTTGTAAACTCACACTCCTTCTCCTCCTCCCCATTTGCAGGCAACCACCTATCTTCTTTCTATCACTATGGATCAGTTTTGTATTTTCTAGAATTTTATATAAATGGAATCATACAATCTATATTCTTTATTGGCTGGCTTCTTTCAGTCAGTACAATTATTTTGAGATTGATTCATTTTCTTGCATGTATCAATAATTTATTCCTTTTTATTGCTGAATAATATCCCATGGTATGTCAGTATCACACTTTGTTTATCTGTTTACTTGTTGATGGTCATTTGGTTGTTTCCAGTTTTGGGCTATTAAAAATAAAACTGCTCTGAACATTTGTGTAGAAGTCTTTAATTGAACATATGCTTTCATTTCCCACTGGTAAATACCGAGGAATAGAATAGTTGATCATATGATAGATGTATGTTTATCTTTTAAGAAACTGCCAAATTGTTTTCCAAAGTGGTTGTACCAATTTACATAGTCATCAGCAGTGGCACAATATGATAGTTCCAGTTCCTCCACATCATTTTCAACACTTTGTATGGTCAGGTTTTTTTCAGCCATTTTAATAGGTATGTGGAGCCCTGGTGGTGCAATGGTTAAAGCGCGCAGTTGTGAACCAAAAGGTCGGCAGTTCAAACCCACCAGCTGCTCCATGGGAGAAAGATGTGACAGTCAGCTTCTGTAAAGATTTACAGCCTTGGGGCCAAAATGAAAACATTAACCTTACGAGTAGAAAGAGAGCAACAAAAGAAGTCCTCGGGGACCAGAAGAAAGGAAATTATAAAAATTAGAGCAGAATTAAATGAAATAGAGAATAGAGAAACAATTGAAAGAGTCAACAAGACCAAAAGCTGGTTCTTTGAAAAGATCAACAAAATCGATAAACCATTAGCCAAACTGACAAAAGAAAAACAGGAGAGGAAGCAAATAACCCATATAAAAAATGAGATAGGTGATATCACAACAGACCTAAATGAAATTAGAAGAATTATAATACTATGAAAAATTGTACTCCAACAAATTTAAAAACCTGGAGGAAATGGACAAATTTCTAGAAACACACTACTTACCTAAACTAACACAAACAGAGATAGAACAACTAAATAAACCCATAACAAAAGAAGAGATTGAAAGGTAATTAAAAAACTCCCAACAAAAGAAAGTCCTGGCCCAGATGGCTTTACTGGGGAATCTACCACACTTTCAGAGAAGTTAACACCACTACTAGTAAGGGTATTTTAGAGCATAGAAAAGGATGGAATACTCTCAAACTCATTCTATGAAGCCAGCATAACCCTGATACCAAAACCAGGTAAAGACACCACAAAAAAAGAAAATTACCTACCAATATCCCTCATGAACACAGATGCAAAAATCTGCAACAAAATTCTAGCCAATAGAATTAAACAACATATCAAAAAAATAATTCACCATTACCAAGTGGGATTCAGACCAGGTATACAGGGATGTTTCAACATTAGAAACACAATCAATGTAATCCATCACATAAATAAAACAAAAGACAAGAACCACATGATCTTATCAATTGATGCAGAAAAGGCATTTGACAAGTCCAACACCCATTCATGATAAAAACTCAGCAAAATAGGAATAGAAGGGAAATTCTTCCACTTAATAAAGGGCATTTATACAAAGCCAACAGCTAACATCATCCTAAATGGAGAGAGTTTGAAGACATTCCCCTTGAGAACGGGAAACAGACAAGGATGCCCTTTATCACCACTCTTACTCAACACTGTGCTGGAGGTCCTAGCCAGAGCATTTAGGCTAGAAAAAGAAATAATGGACATCCAGACGGGTAAGGAAGAAGTCAAAGTATCCAAGTTTGCAGATGATAAGATTTTATACCCAGAAAACTCCAAAAAACCCACAAGAAAACTACTGGAGTAGAAGATTTCAGCAAAGTATCAGGTTACAAGATAAACATACAAAAATCAGTTGGATTCCTCTACACTGACAAAGAGAACTTCCAAGAGGAAATCATCAAAGGAATACCATTTACAGTAGCCCCCAAGAAGATAAAATACTTAGGAATAAATCTAACCAGAGACGTAAAAGACCTATACAATGAAAACTACAAGACACTACTGCAAGAAACCAAAAGAGACCTACATAAGTAGAAAAACATACCTTGATCATGGCTAGGAAGACTCAACATTGTGAAACTCAGTTCTGCCCCAAACGATGTACAGATACAGGGCAATCCCAATCCAAATTCCAATGGCATTTTTTAATGAGATGGAGAAACAAATCAGCAACTTCATATGGAAAAGGAAGAGGCCTTGGATAAGTGAAGCATTACTGAAGAAGAAGAACAAAGTGGGAGACCTCACACTACCTGATTTTAGAACCTATTATGCTGCCAGGTAGTCAAAACAGCCTGGTACTGGTACAACAACATAGACCAGTGGAATAGAATTGAGAATCCAGATGTAAATTAATCCATCTATGAGCAGCTGATATTTGACAAAAGCCCGAAGTCCGTTAACTGGGGAAAAGATAGTTTCTTTAACAAATGGTGCTGGCATAATTGGAAATCCATCTGCAAAAAACTGAAACAAGACCCATACCTCACACCATTCACAAAAACTAACTCAAAATGAATCAAAGACCTAAATATAAAATCGAAAATGATAAAGATCATGGCAGAAAAAATAAGGACAATGCTTAGGAGCCCTACTACATGGCATAAAAGGAATATAAAACATAACTAACAGTGCACAAACACCAGAAGCGAAACTAGGTAACTGGGAGCTCCTAAAAATCAAACACTTATGCTCATCAAAAGATGTCACCAAAAGAGTAAAAAGACAACCTGCAAACTGGGAAAAAAATTTTTGATATGACATATCTGATCCGGGTCTAATCTCTTAAAATCTACGAGATACTGCAAAACCTCAACCACAAAAAGACAAATAACTCAGTTAAAAAATGGGCAAAGGATATGAACAGGCACTTCACCAAAGAAGACATTCAGGTGGCTAACAGATACATGAGGAAATGCTCACGATTATTAGCCATTAGAGAAATGCAAATCAAAACTACAGTGAGATACCATCTCACTCCAAGAAGGCTAGCATTAATCCAAAAAACACAAAATAATAAATATTGGAGAAGCTGTGGAGAGACTGGGACACTTAAGCACTGCTGGTGGGAATGTAAAAGATTTACAGCCTTGGAACCCTATGGGGCAGTTCTGCAGGTTAGCTATGAGTCGGAATAGTCTAAGTGGCAGTGGGTTTGGTTTTTAATAGATGTGTAGTGCTATCTCAGTGTGGTTTTAATTTGCATTTTCCTAATGACTAAACATGTTAAGCATCTTTTTATTCACTTATTTGTCATTCATATATCTTCTTTGCTGAAGTGTCAGTTCAAATCTTTTGCAATGTTTTTATTGGGTTGTTTGTTTCTTATTTTGAGTTTTGAGATTTCTCTATATATATCCTGGATTCAAGTCCTTCATCAGATATAGGATTTAGAAATATTTTCTCTCAGTCTTTGCTTTATCTTTTCATTCTCTTAACAGTGTCTTGAGAAGTTTTTAACTTTGATAAAGTGCAATTTTATCAATATTTTCTTTTCTGGAACTTGCTTTTGGTGTCAATTTGTGTAAATATTTGCTTAACCCAATGTCATAGAATATTCTGTGTCTTCTAGAAGTCTGATAGGTTTCGGTTATGCATTAAGCCCATGATCCATTTTGAGGTAATTTTTGTATATAGTATAATATGTAGATCAAAGTTCTTTTTTTGGCTTATGTGTATCTAGTTGTTCCAGTACCATTTATTTTTTCAGTGGTCTATTGTTTGGACACAGACAGTCTATTGATTCTCCAATCAGTTGCCTGTCACCTTTGCTGAAAATCAGTTATCCATGTAAGCGTGGGTCTATTTCTGGATTATGAATCCTGCTTCATTAGTTTGTCTATCTTTATGCCACTACCATGCTGTCTTGATTACTGTTGCTGTGTAATAAGACTTGAAATGAGGTAGTGTTAGTTCTTCAACTTTGTTCTTCTTTTTCAAAGTTGTTTTGGTGATTCTAGGTGCTTTGCAATTCCATATGAATTTTAGAATGAGCTTCTTGGTTTCTACAAAAAAAGCCTGATGAGGCTTTGATTGGGAACACATTGAATCTATGGATCAGTTCGGGGACAACTGACATCTTAGGAATAAAGACTTCTTCTGACCTATGAACCCTGTATATTTCTCCATTTATTTAGGTCTTTTTTAATTTCTCTCAGTGTTTTGTTGTAGTTCT